GTCTATTATTGCCATATAAGTATATTATCTCAAAACCATTAGTGTACAAATGACACTTGGAGCTGTGATTAACTGTCATTTCAAGGACAGTGTCCAGTGTGGTACCTGTTTTTTGCCTTTGTTGAAATACTGGAATGCTCATCCTCCAAAGCCTTCCTTTTTTCTTTTACTCCAGAGGGTAAAAGAATGAAACCATAATCTTTCTTGCTGAGTGAATTCTCTTGAGTTCTCACATCTGAACTCCTGTCAGCAACCATGCTACAGCCTTCAGCACTAACTGCAGCTTATAGATCAAACACAAGGGAAATCCTTTTCAATAGGGTACAAATTCAGACATATCAAGAGTGGACCATCAAGGGGGAAATTTGTGTTGTCCTATCAAGTAGTGACTGATGAGATGAATTTTACTACATTCCATACCTGATCGATCCATTATCTGGATAATGTAAGAAGACCAGAATCCTGTTTTCAGCAGTGGCCAATCAGATGCCAGAAGACTTCCATAAACAGGGAAGAAGTAGCCTTCCTCCAGGGTTGCTTCCTAGGAAGTGGCATTTAGTGTTGTACATCCCAGCAAGTGGCACCCAGTATTCTTTGAATAGGGAGGATCTATTTAGGGGTCCTTTACCTTTACTTTTTTATTTAATGATCATGGTAAATGGCCATTGAGAGACCAATCCTCCATGAATTTGCATAACCCCTCTTGAAAGCCATCAGTGAGTATCACAACATATTGTGGCAGAGAATGCCATCAGAAATCATGACACCTGATCAGGAATATATGTTGTTGTTGTTGTTGTTGTTGTTGTTGTTCAGTCGTGTCCTACTCTTCATGACCCCATGGACCAGAGCACGCCAGGCACTCCTGTCTTCCACTGCCTCCTGCAGTTTGGTCAAACTCATGTTAGTAGCTTTGAGAACACTGTCCAGCCATCTCGTCCTCTGTTGTCCCCTTCTCCTTGTGCCCTCCATCTTTCCCAACATCAGGGTCTTTTCCAGGGAGTCTTCTCTTCTCATGAGGTGGCCAAAGTATTGGAGCCTCAGCTTCAGGATCTGTCCTTCCAGTTAGCACTCAGGGCTGATTTCCTTCAGGATGGATCGGTTTGATCTTTTGGCAGTCCATGGGACTCTCAATAGTCTCCTCCAGCACCATAATTCAAAAGCATCAATTCTTCAGCGATCAGCCTTCTTTATGGTCCAGCTTTCACTTCCATACATCACTAGTGGGAAAACCATAGCGTTAACTACACTGACCTTTGTCGGCAAGGTGATGTCTCTGATTTTTAAGATGCTGTCTAGGTTTGTCATCGCTTTTCTCCCAAGAAGCAGGCATCTTTTAATTTCATAAAAGGCCTCCTCGCCATTTGGTAGGGAGATACAGATGTCTGGTTTTCTAGAAGGTTACATGTACATGGTGAACAGTTATAACATGGTACATACTATGATGTTCAATTAGTAGGAAAGTCTTGAGAAACTGACTCATGTGCATGCATGTCTGATTAATCCCTTTTCAAGCAGGAAGTAGAACAGAATAGCAGAGTTCATGTTTTGCATGCAGAAGGTCTGAGGCTCATCCACATCCACATTAAAGGATGCTGTAGCAGGTCATGGGAGAGACCTCTGCCTGAGTCCCTGGGGTCCACTTCCACCCAAGATGGACAAAATAGACAAAATAAATAAATAAATGACCTGACATAAGGGCGCTTCCTATGATCTTCACCACTGAACCCTTTCAAAACCTCTTCTTTCATGGCTGTCTAGCATGCTAACACCATTCTTAGCACATAAAACAAATCCACAGCATTTCCAGAAACCATTTTTGAAACAAGAAAATTCTGCAAAAAATGAGCTTATTACTAGTTTATTTTTCATTGCCTATCAAACAGATGTCCCTCATTCTCCAGGGGATTTTTAGCTTTCCCCAGTTGTTCTGCCTTAGTGAGCTGCCAGATGTTCTATTGCTCAGCAACATTCCTCATCAGCGGCAAAGGTATGAAAGATTCAGCCAAAGCAAAAGTGGCAGGTCTAAATCCCCCCACATTTATTTATTTATTTATGCATGCTAAGAGGTGGGATAAATTGCTCCAAATTGGTAAACGTGAAGAGACAGGTGGGACAAAAGATCTCACACACTTGCTGTCTTCTCTGAGAGCTAATACTACATAGTTGCAGCTCCTTATGGGTCACAAAATACCAAATCTCCCTCTTAATAACAATACAATACAAAAAAAAAAAAACCCAATCAGCTCAGCTGAATACACGGCATGGCAAAATATAAACTGAAGTCTGCTCCGGGGTGTCTTAGTAAAGTCTACCGTTTCCATAGGGATGTGAAGGGAAGGGAATGAGAATAACCATACATGCAGATATGGAGTTGTAGAAATGACAGGGGTCTTTCACAGTCTTGCCTGTAGATGCTATGGATTGGTCAGGGGAACTGCTGCATGCAAAGCAAGTACTCTTGTGTTTCCCTCCCATTACATGGGAGCAAATCCCACAAAATCCAATGGGACTTCCATCTGACGAGCATTGGATTGGCTGTAACAACAACAACAATGTTTATCTGGGTCTCCTCTTGTGCTATTTTCCTAGATTTCTGGTTTGCTGACAGTTTTGCCTAGTTGGAGCAAAACAATATCCAACAGATGGTATAGAGTTCTAGACATGGCTTGTTTGCTGTGAGAACCTTTTAAAAACTGGAGGGCTCTGGTATATCCATGTTTGCCTTGGTCTGTTCTCTTGGGGCTTGCTGAGTCCCACCAGCATGAATTAATGTAAGTGATGCTGATAGATATGAATGACCTGTGCAGACATCCTGGCAGGCAGTTTCTGTGGGTGTGAAGTGATTGTAATGAGTCGGCACTGTGCCTCAAAGGGGACATTTGTTTTGTTTTTACTAGATGCACCCATTTCCATAGGAATACCTACAGAAATTCTCAAAGCAACTGATGCATAAGAATCTCCTATTTTAAATTTCCTCTTTTCTCTAGAATACTATTCATACATGCACAAGTAATTACATATTTTAGTTCCTTGAGCTCTCTATCTCACACTCACAGAGACCTTATACTGGGAATGGCAAAGAAATTTGATTCCCCCCACATTTATAGGCAAATCTACCTAATTAAGCAATAAGCAAAAACAAAACAAAACAAAAAAGCTGTCCTTCGAAATTTTCCCTTCTCTGAATTTTTCACTGTAGTACTCTAGCCAAGTAATACATATAAAAATGCTTACCCTATGGTAAATGTGCACAAAATGCATATATTTGTGAAAATAACATAAAATGCATTATGTTAGTGGAAATTGCAAAAATGTGTGCATCAGGCAAAAATGTGTACATAATGAGAAATTATTTCAAAAATGCCAATGAATTTTCACAGTAATGGATCACAAACTGTGGAAATGTTGAGAACTAAATTTAACACTGGGGGTGGGGGGGAGAGAGAATAATCCATCCCTACATTATACACATGCATATTTCTAAAACATTACAGAGAAGTAATTGAGATATGATTGTACAAATCTTTGCATCTAGATTCTTTCTGTGCAGTGTTTTACCAAAGTTTTACCAATAGTGCATAAAAAAATCCTGGTACATATTTACCTATGATCACATAAAAAATATGTGCACCATTTTAAGGCAACATTTGAACAATGAGCCTCCGGTTGAAAAGTGCAGAAGAGTCGGGCACACTTTGCACGTGGAAATAATGAAATTAATTTTAGTATCTCACCTCCCCACTTGAATGAGAATGTGAAAGGAATGGGATACAGGGCAAAGCAGGGTTAATACTCCCAAGCATCTCCACAGTTATTTTCCCTATAGGTCTCCAGTTGAGTAGCCTGGCAGCCAAGGAGCTTCCACTTTCCGAGGTCTGATTTAACAGTTGTCAAATATAGGTCATCATTACTCAGCTGGAGAAAACGATTCTCTCCCCCTCCCCACTCTGCTTTACTGCTTTCTTAGTATTAATTTATTCATCATCACTGAAGCAACTGACTTATTGCAAAGCTTATCCAAACAGTAGGCAGAGGCTTCTCTGCAAGGGAATAAGAGCTCCTAATTGCCAGAGTAAATGTTGCCAGGTGTTCATCTCCCTTGTCCTAATAAATAAATAATTAAGAGACATTATTAGTAAGAGACTAGATCCCTGGAGGTTTGAAGCATTAAAAGAAAGAAGGGGGTGTATGCGAGCCAACGCTGAAACCAGGCATTATGTTGTTGATAAAGGGCTTTCATGGGAGAGTTGGCAGGCCAAGCATAGCACCATTTATGGATGGACAAATCAGTCCAGTTCTGATCAATGCCAGCTTCACAGGTAGGAATTAATAAATCCAGTCAATCCAATTTCTGCTTTAAATGTGTGGGTTTTTTCCGTTAAAAATATCAGCAAAAGTTTTAACTTTAAAATGTACTTACAGTGTGCTATGAGCACTGCTTTTAAAACCATTTTTTTTCTTTTGCAGGTGAAAGTTACTCAAACCAATTAAAAAGTTAGTCTGCTGTGCTACCACTGCCAAGTATGATCAAAATGGGGCTGCAAATTGTTCTTGCGGGTGCTGGGAGATGATGAGATCATGTCCCTCAGCCATGTTGTTTTAAATAATGAAATAAAACAATGCACTGTGCCCATTGGGCTGGGTTTTGCCTGTAAAAAGAAACTAAACATGATTATACAGATAGCACACGGGCAAATAAGTACAGTGGTACCTCAGGTTAAGTACTTAATTCGTTCCGGAGGTCCATTCTTAACCTGAAACTGTTTTTAACCTGAAGCACCACTTTAGCTAATGGGGCCTCCTGCTGCTGCCGCACCGCTGGAGCCCGATTTCTGTTCTTATCCTGAAGCAAATTTCTTCACCTGAAGCACTATTTCTGGGTTAGCAGAGTGTGTAACCTGAAGAGTATGTAACCTGAAGCATATGTAACCCAAGGTACCACTGTATAAAGTAAACCTGTCAGGTTTTTGTAGTGTGAATTCCAAGGCAGGGGGCAAGGGCTTTGGCTCAGTGATAGAGCATCTGCTTTGCATGCAGAAGGTACTAAATTCAATCCTTGGCATCTCCAGAAATACCCCTGAAATCTTGGGGAGCCTGTGCCAGTCAGTGTAGACAAAGTGAAGGACCTTTACAGCAGAGCTGGATATGATGCTTGAAACCGAATTACTGCTGAAACGGGCACATCTTCACAAATAATGTTTTATTTCCACTCAGTGCATATTGCACTTATGGGATTTGGTGCCACATCATCTCTCAACTAGATGGGAAAGCTTTGGAAAAATCAATGGAAAGTCTTTAGATGGCTGCTAGTCATGTTGCCTCTATGCAGACTCCAGATTCAGAAGCAGAGTGCCTCTGTGTACCAGTCATGGGGAGCCACCATAAGAAATGTCCTCATATCCTCCTTGCTGGGTTTCCAAAAAAAGGATTGGCTACTATAAGAAACAGAAAGCTGAACGAGGGAGACCTTGGGCTGTATCCAATGTTCATTCTACCAAGAGCAGAACCATTGAAATTAATGAACCTAAGTTAGACATGTCCATTAATTTTAATGGATGTACCCTAAATAGGATGAATATTGGAAGCAACTGCAGGAAAGTGTTCCTGGAATCCTAACACCATAAACTAAAATACTCTGTGTTCTGGGAATCAGGTGGCTGTGAGTGGCCAGCCACATAGCAGTGCTTGGAATGTCACATCAACACAAGTTGTATTCCCTCAGACTAGAAAACTTGTGACCCATAGAAGCCACCACACATAACCTGTGCTCTTCTAGACTGGCAGCTGTCACCACCACCATCTATCACACTCTGGTTATTTGCTACTGGGCTGTGCATTGTGGTTTGTGTCCAACTAAGTTCTACTCAGAGTAGATTTTCTGAAATGAATAGACCTAAGTTAGTCATGTCCATTAGTTTAAATGAGGTTATTCAGTCGTATTTTCTCTGGATAAAAGCCCTATGGTTTAATCTGGTACAACTTTTCTGGTGTTGCAGTTTGAGGCTGTGGGCTGCCACAGAATGAAAGCCAGGAACTAGGAAGAAGTCAGAGATAATAGAAACTATTGTTGCCTAAGCAATGTACTAATGTATTCCACATACATCAGTTGACTGGACTGGTAACTGAATCTTTCTTGGATACTGGTAACAAAATATCAGACTTCATCACACCTGAGGCAGCAGGGTAGTTTAGGTAGCTCTGTCCTCCAAACAAGAGGAACAACTAGGCAGTTTAGGGAAAACAGCTAGGAAGCTGCAGTCACAGCCCCTAGCATGTGCCACCTGAGGTGGTTGCCTCACTCTGCCTAATGGTAGGGCCACCCCTGAGTGGAGCAATGGAGAATTCTTAATGCATTGGTTTTAGTTTGAAAAAAGGGCTATGAAATTTGAGATCTCATCATCTGGGAAGAAAAGTAGACAAGAATTTCAAATGCATCCCCAATAAATCACACCCCATTATAGGTCCATTCATAATTATGTTGGATATGTCTCTCTCTCTCTCTCTCTCTCTCTCTCTCTATATATATATATGCAGGGTTATTAATGATAAAAAAGGTCAGGCAGACAATGTCAGAAGCAGTAGTTGAATCAACGTGGATTAAAACAGCGGGCCCGCCATCATTAATGGTCTCTCTGCTGCTTGCATTCCTTGAAAAGTCTGGCTTCAGACTTCTGCTACACCCTCAAGGCAAAATTATCTTCTTCATTGCACATTGCGGATCTCAATTGCATATTCTACATTTATTTAACTTGCCTGACTCCCATTGGCATTGCTGAAAGTTGTGAGTAGAATGACAGAACGAACAAACTGGATTCACTGTGTGCAACCAAGTGGGAAATATTGGCTTAAATACATATTAAAAGGGGGGCGAGTCAAATGTTCTGAATGATGAAAACTATTGTAGCTTACTTTGCAGAGTTTGTCTGAGGCAGTAAGTAGCCAAGTGAAACCAGGGGCCTCATCGCTAAAACAAGCTGGCATGAATTCCTGAACAGAGTTACAATCAATTTAATGCATTGTGGTTTTAACAAATATAAGGGAAACATCCCTTTTTCTCTCCAGAAAGCCTAGTTCATCAGCTTCAATGTGGAATCTTCCATCTGATTTCACAGCAAGAGTCCTGATGGAATGAACTGAGGCTTTTGAAAATGAACATGTGATATTCCCAGATAACTTTGAAAGAGACTTTGTGTATTGGGTCAAATAAAAAGACGTTCCTTCCTGCATTTCAACTTTAATAGCAAAGTCCCAGTTTCTTCCAAAGTTAGGCTCAGTCTCTTTTACTGAACCTTTAGAAATCCAGCTCCCCAAGTAAAACAAGCTTAGAATTTCCTTGAGGCAAGTCCTGAAATTGCAGTTAATTCAGTGTGCAGGGGTCAGGTTACTTAGTGGGGCCCCTGGATATGTTTCTATTAGACCCAAGGAACTGCACTGGCTGTTCATTAAGCTACTGGATCATGTTTAAAATCTTGCTCCTTTCTACATCTCCCCATTTAGAGAAGTGTCCTACGCTTTGTTTCCTACAGCTAAACAAATTCATGATCCACAAGAGGACCTGTCCTCTTCTAACTTGACTGACAAGCTTACTCAGGAGTCTTTGGTGAGGTACTTTGTCAAAAGCTTTTTGAACACCCAAGTACACTATGTCAACCATAGTCACCTCTATCTATATGCTTGCCAACACTCTCAAAGAACTTTAATAGTTTCATTAGACAGGCATTGGCCTTCCAGAAGCCATGCTGGCTCTGCTTCAGCAAGGCTTCTTCTATGTGCTTTGGATATTTTATCTTTAACAGTACTTTCCACTAATTTACATCAGACAGATATAAGCTGAGCAGCCTGTAATTTCTAGGACCCTTCTGGACGTTTTTTGAAATATTGATGTTATATTGGCTACTTTCTAGTCCTAAGGTATGGAGGCTAAGCAGAGGTACAAGTTACATATTTTAGTTAGAAGATCAGCAAGTTCACATTTTACTCCATTGAGAACTCTCAGGTGGATCTCATCCTAACCTGGCAATTTGTCAGTTTTTATTTTGTCTATTAGGTCTAGTCTCTCATCACTATCTGATTCAGTTCCTTATACTCACCTCCTGCAAAAGTCAGGCACTAGATCTGACATATAACTTCCATTACAAAGAAAGATGCAAATAATTCATTCAGCTTCTCTGCAATATCCTTATCTGTAGCTTTAGCAAAATTTGTCCAAAATTATGCAGTCATGTTTCCTGTATTTGGGGAAAATAACAAGGGGTGGCAGACTGGAGTGCAATGGATAAGCCTCACCTTGGGAAAACCACCTTTATGATTGTGGCATCTCTCCAACCAAATAATTTGTTATTGTTTCATTCATTTCTTCTCTCTTTCATTCTAGTTGCACTCTCCTTTCATTGCTCACTCATTATTATTTCTACATTGCTTACAATTGGGGAGAACCAGACTGTTTTCTGATGTTATTAACTTCCAAAATCTAACACTCAATTGCCATGAAATTCTCAGGCATTGTGCTAGTTTGTAAGGCATCAGACCAGCCAAGTATCAGAGACATTAGACAAATAGTTCCCATTAAGCAGTTTTTAAAATTGTGACATCCCCTAACCTTACAATTGCTTTATACGCCAGATTGGACAGTTTTTATGTCTTGCTTTTCTCCCAGGAGGTACACCATGGAAGGGAGAGATCAGGCAGGTTGCCTGTAACTGGATATAAGTGCCTGTTTACAACTCACCTCTTGATTCTGGTGCTGTCAAATAGATCTCCCCCTTCTGGACCTTTTTCCCAAGGTCCCTTTCCCTTGTGTGTCATTGTCAAAAAGAAAAGAAAAGCTGAGGTCCAGACCTATGCTATCTCATTTTCACTTGCATACAGAGCCTGCCACAAGCACCATATAGAATTTTGGGTTGGTGTGATCTGCATTGAGAGGGGGTGGGGGTGGTCCAAAAACTGGGTTTAAAACATATGTACATAATACTCCAGTTTGTACTTTCCAATCACCATCATAATAGAACCTGCACAGATATTTATTGTTAAAAAATTTGAATGTGGAGGGGGAGTTGCATAATGTAACCAACAAAGGGTACCTACTACACAGGAGAAACTGATGTCATTTAAAAAGTCTGCTTTAGTCTGTATTTTCTCTGGCTTCTGTAATGTGCCCTCTTGATAATCTTATAAATCAAGCATTGTATTCAGCTAATTTCTACTCAGAGTACACCCATTAAAATCAATAAACTAAAGTTAGCCATGTCCATTAACTTTACTGGAGCTATTTTGAGTAGGACTAACATTGAATAGCACCCTAAATGATTTATCAATATAAACAATGGTAATAGAGTTTGACTGATAGCTGTTACTGTTTGGAGAAGAAAACACACACATATACATCTGGAAAAACAGCAACAAAGCAATCTTAATGAAATGAGCTGCATGACTTTGGTTATAGAAGGCTAATAAACATCATGCAAACAAAAGGTTTCCAAAATTATGCACTCGGACTTAATAAAGCATCTAGAAGTGATCACAGTAGCCAACCAACCACCAGGGCTTAAGAACTAAAGTTTCTTTTAGCTCCAGAATCCTTGGACAGGGGCTATATTTTACTTCTTTAAAAACAAGGAAGTGAATGAAAGAAAAAGGTGGCAAACTGGATAGTATGAAGGTCATTCTATCTTTGTGCTACATTTCAGAAAAAAATCTTAGAAAGTTAAAATGATGGGGAAGAACAAAAATGTCAGGAAGTACAAAAGTCTTAGAGGGATGGAAGAGGGAAAGTGTTCTGTAATTATAGTGGTATCGTAGGAAAGCCATCAGTAGAAGCCAGGTTATTAAACTCGCTTTCTGCTGCCTTTTCTTTCAGTGTTTTCTTGTTTGTCTTTAGTAAGTCTCCTCCTCAGTCCATCAGCCTGAACCCTCTCTTCTCCTATAATGCAAGATTTTACCACTTTCTGACAAACTGATCCCTTAAGTCAAAAAAATTCCCTTTTAAGCTTGGTGCTCCTTCTGATATCATTACTCTGCTTGATGATATAGGATTGTGATTAGCACCTTGTCAGTACAGAAGCTATTGAATTCTGAGAAGATGGAGGGGGGAAAGGGAGGAATGAGAGCAAAGTTTTAAACCCAAAGAGCTGTAGGCTTCTGCAAAAAAACAAAACAAAAAAACCAACCACCCTATTCATAATCTACCAGCCAACATTTGTGGTTCGAGGACCCGACCCCCGCGATGTGAAATGAATACACAAGGACACATGATATAAGGTTAATGGGCATGGAAAGGCCACAACTTTATTGATTACAGCAGTGAAAAGGTATTGGCTTAGGCATTGGATCTCTAAAACACGTGGGTTTATTCACCAGTAGGTGGAGCCTGTTGATGCTAATCCAACTATAGGCTCCCCCCTGATGTCACCGAGGGTCGTGCCATGGCCTCCCGCCAAGCAGGCATCGGACAGAACACACGACCGCCAGATTCCTTTAATGGAATACCCAAAAATTGAAGGCATAGGTGATGGCCACACCTAGCCCTTCGACACACCACAACACATTATTCCAATGCCTAACCTACCCACCAATACCACAAAAGTTGTGACGATTGCTACGAGGTAGGCGAAAAAACCAAAAAGCCTAATGCCAAATGGAAAAACTCCTACCTGGCCCCCTGGACAACCAGGGCGACCAACCTAAGGTTCATAGCAAGGCCAATGACCTAAGCCCTAACTCTAAGGGAATGGAGGGTGGGTGACTCGCGAAGAGGCGACGGCGAAGAATGAGGCCAGGGAGAGGCTGGCACTGCAGCATAAGGCTGCTGAACACGCCCCCTCCGAGGCACCTGGTTGGATGCCTGCAGAGGGGGCGTGGGTGCCAGCCAGGTGAGGTGGAGGCAGGGGGCAACCGCCCCCTGCTAGGGGCGGTGCTCGGGCTCCCGCCCACAGCCACTCCCTCTCTTCCAGGGAGGAGAGTCTTTGTGGTTCGAGGACCCGACCCCCGCGATGTGAAATGAATACACAAGGACACGTGATATAAGGTTAATGGGCATGGAAAGGCCACAACTTTATTGATTACAGCAGTGAAAAGGTATTGGCTTAGGCATCTGATCTCTAAAACACGTGGGTTTATTCACCAGTAGGTGGAGCCTGTTGATGCTAATCCAACTATAGGCTCCCCCCTGATGTCACCGAGGGTCGTGCCATGGCCTCCCGCCAAGCAGGCATCGGACAGAACACACGACCGCCAGATTCCTTTAATGGAATACCCAAAAATTGAAGGCATAGGCGATGGCCACACCTAGCCCTTCGACACACCACAACACATTATTCCAATGCCTAACGGCAGGCACAATAAACAGCAGGCACAAACACACAAATCAATAAACGGCAGGCACAAACACATGCTGCAAGCACACACACACGACTTAAAATTAGAGAGGAACAGGAACCCTGAGGATCATCTAGTCCAACCCAAGCAATGCAGAAATATTCAGCTGTCCCATACAGGGATCGAACTTGCAACCTTGGCATTAATAGCACCATACTCTAACCAACTGAGTTATCCAGGCTCCCAAGGACAATGGAGGGGGAAAACGCAGCAGCACCCTGGCCAACAAATTAAAATGTAAGGCAAACCCACTCAGTCACCCAGACCAGCCATGCAATTGGACAGGCAAGGGCAATAGAGGGGAAAACGTACAAGCACCCTGGCCAAAAATTAAATAAAAACGCACACCACCAAGGCAGAGGCAGGGGAAGGAAAGCGAAGAGACGAGGGAGAAAGAAAGACAGAGCCACACACACACTCAGACCTCGCTGGGGGCACGTGCTGGGCAAGGGAACAAGCTGCAGCTTAAGAAAGGTAATTCGCACTCAGACCACACAAACAAATCAAGCACCAGGAGTGGGGGGAAATAGAAGGTTAAATGTAGGTTTTTAAACGGAAAAGAGGACACAGCAAGGCAAACCTGGATGCCTGGGTTTTTAAAAGCAGTAAAGCAATGAGTGCACGCAAGCCTCCTAAAGTTAAAAGGCAAGCCAGGAACCAGGCAGCCTCTACACACACAGCCCCTCCCCCGACTCCAAACCTCATGGCTCTTCCCTGTGATGACTGTGATGACTCGCGACGAGACGACGGCGAAGAATGAGGCCAGGGAGAGGCTGGCACCACAGCATAAGGCTGCTGAACACGCCCCCTCCGAGGCACCTGCAGAGGGGGCGTGGGCGCCAGCCAGGTGAGGTGGAGGCAGGGGGCAACCGCCCCCTGCTAGGGGCGGTGCTCGGGCTCCCGCCCACAACCACTCCCCTCTCTTCCAGGGAGGAGAGTCTTTGGTTAACACCCATGACTCTTTCAGCTACTCTTCTTGATACCCATCAAATATTTCCTTTGACCCAAACTCCCGCCACATCCACATCATTTTATTTTATTTTGCTTTTTTTGGTTCATATGGGAGAGGCGGTCCTTGAGGTATTGTGGTCATGAGCCATTTAAGGCTTTATGGGTCATAACTAGAACTGTGGACTGGGCTCAGAAAAAGATGTAAAGGAGAAGTAGAGCTTTGGGTCATCAGCATATTCCTGACAACGTACTCCAAAACTCCTGATAATCCCTCTCAGCAGTTTCATGAAGATGTAAAGCAGCATAGCGAATAAAACTGAACAAAAATTGAATGCTACACGGGGCTGAAGAACATCCCTGCCCCAACATCACCTTCTAGAAATGACCACCAAATTGGACCAGAACCATATGATGTCATGGCACCAACACACATGCTCAGCACCCACAGTCTGGGGCCCAAGTCAGTGCCGCAGAATACCTAATTTATCCTATTGCCCAAAGCAAGCAACATACACTCTAGATCCCCCCACAACTGGACAGAGAGCCTGGAGACAGAAAGAGAAATTCTATAGACTACAGAAATGCCCCCTCCCCAGCCCTCAAGTCTGCTGCACCGAGTACTCAGGTTGGTACAGCTGGGTGAGACCAAGTCCACCTTGCTCACCCACCCAGGTCTCAGTGTTACAGACCGTATCAGCCTCCTCATCCATAATTAGATCATGTTGGGAGGTCTTACTCAGAGCTCAACAATAGCTGAAGACTTGAGGGCTGGCTGATAGGACAACCACAATTCATTAATTTGGAAGAGAGGCTGGCAAATGGCACAGTCATTAACTGCCTGTGCTGTATGCCCCTTACCCAGCCTGCCTCACTCCATACCACCTATTGCCCCAAACCATTTTGACTGGGGTTGCCTCTGCTCTCCTCAGCTCCTCTCTTTTCAGGCACATCCTACATCCCTTAATTTAAAAACAACAAAAACCCCAAATTAAAAAAATATGCACAAGTGAAAC